CGTTCTTCTAGCCGTTTCCGTAACGACTACTAAAAACCTAACTGCTTTCAAGAAAACTCATATTTTAATAAACGCCCAAACCTGACGAAGCCATTCATGCACTCAGATGATTACGTAAATGCAAATATCACACAGCTTTTATGTTGAAATCAAGATACTGAATATTATTTGTTATGCCTAAACACCCGTCGAAGTTTTACTAAAGAATTGTGCAGTAAATGTTGCATATATTTTATATATTTAGGCGCTCTGTTCTCTAGATAGGCTTAAAACAATGAATTAAGAATAAGGAGATATGACACACGAATAAGTTATGTAAGGCAATTTAAGGCAGTGGATTAAGAATATCTTTATCAATCTTCATTTAATTAAATACCTATACAATATTTATTTTTTTAACTTTGGATAATAAATTTGTTCTTGGATAATAAACAAGAAATGTGAGAAGACATCTCTTCAGAAATTCAAACTTTGCCGATGCGTTTGAAATGGTAAATATATGGACAGGCAAAAGAGTAGATCAAAACACATCCATACACCAGTCCATCTTAAAACTTTCTTCAATTTTTATTAAAAAAGCATGCCCTAAAAGTATGCAAAATTTATAACTATTCTTACCTTATTTGCATTTCAGTTTAAAAATTTATCATCCACATTACTTAGGTTTAAGCATTTGTTTATATTTAAATTTCTTATTTCTAAGTTCAAATTTGTAGCCTATATTTTAGGTAATTTGTTAGTTTAAAAATATATAATTTAAAAAGCTTTGTACCATTATTCAGTTACACTGTTAAATTCTTGGTCGGTTATTGAACCAAATAAATTTTTTTTCGAGAGATTGAGTCATAAGAAAAAAAAGTAATTTCACCGTTTTTCAAAGTTACCTTCCAAGTAGAAATGAATGCCTTCGAATTTCGAAATTGAGATTATTGAACAAATTATTTTTAATTATATTAAGTATGTAAGTTCCCAAAAAAATAATATATTAGATATTATATCATCACTTTTTACAATGGAGTAGCATTTTATGGTCAAAACATGAGTAGTCAAAATCGGGTCGGTATTTAAAAAAAATTTTTTTTTTCGAATATTCGACTTTTAACCCATATAGGAACTGTTTTACCGAAAATTTTTATACATCTTTGAAATAAGAGGAAACGGTAGATTCTATCCATATTTTCACTTTCTTAATAAATATAACGTTTTTAAACAAGCTAATTTCGAACTTTGAAGAAAAATATTTCCGGATAGAAGGCTAATATCGAAAAATGGAGAATTATTTTTCACTCGAAAAAGATTGTTTTGCATAATACCCTAAGAAAACATTTTTCTGAATTGTTGCAATAATAAGTATTCGAAATTAAAACTAGAATTGTTTCTGTTGCCTCGAAGCTTTAATACCCTTCATAAAGATTCCTTACAAGAACTTTCAGTTTGCATGTCAGCTATATGTTATAATGGTCCGATCTCGGACACTTTATATGGTCTCTAACGTTACTTTTTGGGTGTTAAAAACATTACAACATAAAAACCTAATATACCCTAGTCAGGGTAAAAATATGTAGCATACATTTAGGAGAGATAACAAAAATGTGTTAAAGGCTTTTACTCTTGGCTTAAAACATTTATGTACAAATGTCGAGCGCTATTTGCCGAGTAAAGCATTTAAACCTCAAATTCATACTAAAAAAAAATTTGTTTAAACAAAATTAATCAATTATATAATACATATTTTCGAAATTGTCTGAGTTTCGTCTAATGCCCTAAGCTTAAATTTCGTCTGAGCCTAGTAGCATCCACACATTGCTACCGATACAGCCCCAAAAAACAACTTCCCAATACAGACAACGCACAAAAGCGCAGTCTACTAAACATGTTGTTGTTTTTCACCCTCCAAAATGTTTGGTAGATTCAAAATTTCCTGCCGCGTCTGAATTGTTTGGTCAGCATGTTGCCTACAAAATATTCACTCGAACTTTGTGGTTACCGGCAAACTAAAAAAAAACAACAAAAGCAAAATAAGAGTCTGCCAACACATTACCGAAATTCTATGCTGTCATAGTCTAAGTTGTTGTTTTTGTCATGGCTGCATTGTTTATTTTAGCGACTAGCGTGCGCGGCATGTGTTGCACATATAATGTTGTAATGTTGAATTGTTGTAGTGTCTCATAGCTTTCATAATTTCGCGTGTTAATGCCGCCCTTGAGGTGAACGTCAACAATAAAATTAACTTTCCGGCGCAAAATGGCCATGCACCAAGCGATGCGGCGCGCCGGTGCAACGGCCACACGCAAACATACACACTACTACTGATACGAGCTTGCATAAGCGTTGTAGAGTCATTGGCAGCACAAAAGCGGTAACCGCGCCAACTAACCGCTTGCAATGACAAACATTTCCGGTTGTTTGTTTACGCCATTTGTTGTTTTTGTTAGTTGGCCATTGTTGATGTCATTGTCAGGTGCGTTGTGCTTTTGAGTAAAAAAATTGTTGCTGCAACTAAAAATTTGTTGCTCTTGTTTTTGTTGCTGTGGCAAGGTAACCAACGGCGTTTTGTACTATGAAGTGGTCCTTGTAGGGCTTCCGTATTAAATTTAAGCTAACTGAAAACTGAGTATACTGCATAAGTACATATACATATATGTATTGCAAGGTATATAGAAACATTTTGCAAATTTTGTTTGTCGTTTAGCTTTCTCAAACTCTTTAATATAGCTTGAAACGTAGTCATAATTCCTCAAAGATATAATAAAATATTTAAAAGAAATTTTATGTTTGACAACTTTTATTAACTACTCAAGTAGAACGACGTGCTGTTTAAATAAAATAAAACACTAAAATTTGGTCAAAATGTTATTTTTTTAAGCACATATTTTAAGGAAATTTATGATTTGAACAAAATGTCGGTCAAATGGCCAACTCGGCACCGTTTGCATATCTACACCCGTTTACGTCGCTTTTCGATAACCCGCTGCAGCATCTCGGCTGCAACTTCGTGCGCTGAATGTTGTCCTCACGCTCCTCGAGCGCTAATGTTTGCTTGGCGTAAACCTTTTGATTTAACATACCCCCAGACAAAATTATCTAGAGGCGTTAAATCGCATAATCTTGGCATCTATTTGACTGGACCATTTCTAGAAATTAACGAGTCGCTAAACTTTACACGCTATGTGTCCATATTTAACATAAACATGGCGCGCCGCCTTGTTGGAGATATGTAGAGATCGTCCTCGCCGATTTTATCAAATTTCGCAAAGTAAAAGTAGCTCCACATCATATTAAAACGCTCGCTATTGATGGTGACGACATTTCCTGGCTGCCACAAATTGTCAAAGTCACGTCATCCCTACTGGTAGACGATGTACATAGGTAAGCAATAATCTGAAATTGAGATAACAGCTTGGGCTCAAAGAGGAGAGAGAGAGAGAACATCATTCCACTATTTTCAAAGCAACAAGTCAAAGTAATATATATTATAGAGCTGCCTTTATTACATATTATATTGGGTTCATAACTATATTCGTACGATTTGCCGAGAGATGTCGTAATATTGTGATGTGACGTGATTATTATTCCGTTGTTCCAATATTCCGAACACACTTTGGAAAGCTGCTAACCTTATGCATATTTTTGGATGTATTTCATTCATTTGAAATGTAAACAACAATAATTCTTTTGACTCAAATATGTCGAAGTTTGGTCCTGAAAAAGTGTTTTTGCGGAAACTTTTTCTTTATTACTTTAAATGTAGCCCTTAAAGGTGGTCCAATTTAAAACCTCTAATTTTCAAGATCTCTGCCTTTAGGCTCGTTGAAGGCTGATTGAACATGTTCTGAACAACTGCATCTGTGTCTGAATGGCAGAACATACTGTAAGTGTTGCAGTTGCGAAGAACTGTCAATCATCCGCCTTAAAAGTAAAATATGTGTTTGTCAATATTGACCAAAACCACTTAACTTTAATTCTGGCATTCATTAACTTTTCTACTTCCACTTCTTATAGTTACCATACTACATTTTCTGTTAGAAGAAAAAGTACCTAAATTAAATGCCTTATAGTTTTTAGAAGCTCTTGCTGTTGGAAACAGGTTGGAGATCTCTAAATAACCGGGTTGACTTAGTAAGATATTTAGTTATCATAAATCCATAATAAAATGCTGCATAGACAGCAGTGACTTTAAAGACTGAACGTGACTTAAAAATCATCCTCAACAATAAATAATTTACCTCATTCAATCATTTTGAAGCGCTTTATCGACACTTGATAATATAATATTTATCATCGAAACTTAAAGCGCATACATTTTTAATTTTCTCCGATATTAATTTGTAGTCGCTTCCGCTGTCGCATGGCCAACAGGGAGCCGGTCATTTCTCGCGCTACTCAATTGTGTATTTTTATTTGTAGTTTGTGATTATATTTTAATTTACGCGTTTAGCTATTTTTTAATTAAAATGCTTCACTCTTTTATGATTTTGCTTGTGAAAAGTCAACACACCGCGTTGGCGACGGACGATGGTGGCTGTGCCAGTGCAAGCGAGAAAATTAAAGGCATCAAATAAAATTGTGAAAAATCCAATTTAAAAGGAGCAAAAATATGAAATTGCAAAAAATTTATTTGCATCTGACAGCCGCTGTGCTGGTTGTATTACTATGGTGTTGGAGAACTTTGACCTTTTTAAGCACATATAGCTGGCCCGTTTGTATGAGCATAGTTTTGGTTATCAGTACTTATTTTTCACTGCCTGCCATGGTGATTTAGACAGGCGAGGTCAACTCAGTGGTCATATGAGATTAAACTTAGGGACTAAAGAGGTCAAAATAGAAATTTGGTTAAGTCAAGCTAAAGTTCAAGCGCGGTAAAGTCGGAGAGATCAAGCCAGCAACAAAAGCAAATAATACTTTTTTTACTTTTCGTTATATAATTACATTATAAAAGAGATTTCCAGTAGGAATATGTGGTATTTAATAATGGTTTTTATATTTCCATATATTTCCAGTCTGTAAATTCACAATCCTCCACAAATATGGCATTACAATATTCGGTAAGTACGTGTACTATCTTTTCTTCAAAACGATATTATTATATATGTATGTATACACATTACATTAAATGAAATGTCAGCAAAGTTTGTGTCCGACCATTGAAAGTACGTTTATTTATAATGTCTTATGTTTTAACGGTCCTCCAACCTTTCGATACTCGTTCGATATTGTGAATAGACTTGCTAGATATACAAGCGAAATCTTATTCCAGTTTTTAAGTCAGGAAGAGAAGAAATGGTGGCTGGAAGTCGAATTTAGGAAATATGGTCGATAGAAAACTAGTTCATAACATAAATCCTTTTCGGTCTATAATAGCTGAATGTGCTAAAACATAGGCTTCCTGAAAGAGTAAATTTTTATTCACCAACTGAGTGGCTGGGCTAGGTTTCGATAACAGGGAGCGTGGTATTGGTTATTGATTGTTGTATCATGTTCGAGATAGTTGATGAAAATGATTTCATGTGAATTCCAAAAATACAGTGGGATGCCGGCCGTCTAAAATACAATCCTTTGCCAGCTGACTGTAGTGTTTTCGGGCGCTTTGGACGACTTTCATAGTGCAACAACCAATCAGCGGACTGTCGGTTGAACTCAAGTGTGTAATAATATATTCATGATTCATCCATTTTCTCACACTGCCGTAAAATCGCGTTCCTTTTTCGTGTGATTATTGCCTTATAGTCCTAGTTATCGTTCTATTTGATTAATGTGAACAAAACGAGGACTCAAACAAGATAAAAGAGATTACTGTACATGCATTCCATTCCTATTACATTTGCGTATACCTCATTATAAATGAGTATATGCACTTCTGCGGACCATATACTAAATTTATAAACATTTACCATGACTTTTCATAATTTCTTATACAAAAGCAAGTAAGAAATGTTATAAAAAATTATATTGATTTTGATCGGTCAGTTTGTATGAGATTATTATGTTGCCTTGGACCATAATTTTGATGAATCTGTTTGTATGGCAACTATATGCCATATTAGGCCCATCTGAACAATATGTTCGGAGATTGCGGTGTTGGCTTGGACCATAACTTATGGCAAATTTCGTAAAGATAATTTCACAAAACAAAAAGTTTTCCCTACAAGGACTGAATTTTGATCGATCAGTTTGTATGGCAGCTACAAGTATATCTAATAGTAATCCGACATCAAGGTTTAAGACAAATGAGCTTCTTAGGAAGTCAAGAACGTATGCAAAATTTTAGATCGATACCTCAGAAACGGAGGACTAGTTTGGGTATATACAGATGGACATGCCTAAAACAACTCAGTTCGTCACGATGATCACTTATACCTATCTGTATTTTATATGGTCTTCGACGTTTTCTTGTGAGTGTTACTTTATAGTAAACTTAATATCCCTTCTTCAGGCTATATAAAAAAAATTAAAATATTTACTTTTGAACTATTTATTAATAATAAACAATAAATACATGCATATCACATATATTCCATATTATACTATTTTCTACTCCCGAATTACGGTAATCATTCCCGCATCATTTCATCCACACTTATGCGCCCACGGGCATTTATGTCTCTCCCCCATCATATAATATGTGTGCCTGCAGGTCCATCTAAAGATGAAATTCAGTTTGTTTGACCCCTTAATTGTGCCGCCACTTAATTATGCAGTACACGTGCGACCGGCATAATTGAATTGTAAATATGCCAGGCAAGCGTCGGCTCATGTGAGTGCACAAGGAGTCACACAAACACACTCTCACCAACCTTTGTGTGTATATGTGTGTCATATATGTGGCCTGTTGCAAGTATTTATTTCCTTCAGAAGAACTGCACCTCGTACTTCGCCTCATTATCCACACACTACTCCGCATTCTCCGCATCCTTTGTGCGCACTGCCGTCGCGCTGTCTTCATTTGTCGAGCGTTCTTGCAACCTGAGGATACGTATAAGCGACGAGTTTTGTATTTCACCAGCCCTTGTAATTATGCTGATGACGTTGATGACGAAATGTTGTTGACACTTGACTCGTGTAACTGTCAGCGTGCTGCCGCAACAATGTACAAAGGCGTGACAACGAAAAGCTTCTCAAATTGCTTGCAGTGAACTGTTCGCACGAATAAGCGCCTAATAAGCTCCGTCGTTGATGCCAGATATAACGATATACATATAAGTGGGCGTATGTTGTTCGTAGTTGCTGCACGCCGAGAAATATGCCTTGTGTTAACGAGCTATAATTAACTAGGAACACTGTGCAATAATTATGCACTAAAATTAGATGAAGCAGATAAGTGCTTGCTGAACTTAAAATTAAATGTTTTTAAAAATAGACTTAAACGATTTATAAACGCGTTCGAGGCACCTAATTATGGAAAATTTTAACTGTTACTTTTTGGTCGCTTCACAAATCGACATGAATTAAGTAGAAACAGTGAGATTGAGCATGATCTACTCATAACATATTAATGGAGAGTTGGATAAAAAGGAAAGAGGGAGAGAAAGTTTCTTAATAAATTTTCGTCAAGCATTTTTCACAATCTTTATTTTTTTGAGGATTGTGTTCCTAATCGAAATAGTAATCTCAATCGGTTCCCTCGGAGTTAAGATTTCATTCTGTAAGGCTTAGAATTCAATTAGGGCCAGAGAAAATTATATTCATTCAAGTTGGAAATTTCATCCGAATCATGCAAAGATTCCAAAGAGGTTTGAGAATTTAGGATTACAATGGAGACTTAAAAATAGAGGAATACTTTGTAGACTTTATAACCAAAAAATATTTGGGATACTTAAGAATCTGGGAATGTTATAGAATGTAAGCATATAAGAATATATAGGAGACTTAAGAACCTGACAATATTTTGGAGACTTAAGGCTCTAGGAATATATAGGAGACTTAAGAATTTAGCAATATTTTGTAGATTTAAGAATCTAGAAAAATATTGGAGGCTTAAAAATCTGGGAATATTTTGAAGAATTTAAAGAATCTAGGAATATATTAGATTTTTAAGAATCTAGGAATATATTGGAGTCTTAAGAGTCTAGGAATGTATCAGAGACTAAGAATCTAGAATATTTTGGAGATTTAAGAATCCGAGAATACATTGGAGACTTTAAAATCTAGTAATATTTTATAGACTTGAGAATATAAGAATATATAGAAGACTTAAGGATTTCGGAATATTCTGAAGATTTAAGAATCGAGGAATACATTGAGGAGTTAAGAATTTGAAATGTGAATTTTGGAGACTTAAGTACCTAGAAATATATTGGAGACCTAAGAACCTAGCCTTGCTTTGCTTTTTTGTAACTCTCTGCTACCTAAATTCGCCCACCAACCACGCTGTTCCCCAATTATATTATCTTAAATTTGAACAAATTTTGCAAATATTTTCTGTTTCTAGGCGCCACTTCACTTTCAGAAATTATTATACGTCAACTTGAGCAAATTCATATCTGCGATAGTCATCACTATTTGCTGCTGCACCAGCCATGGCCAATCGAAGCCATCAAGCCTGTCAGCCTTAGCTCACTTTAGCATCAATTCACTTGAAATATGCGCCAGCGTTTTTAACATTTATTTTTATTTTTATGTTTACCACACCATAATCGGCAACTACTGTTAGACACTTCTTATATTCTTCTGACATTGTGATTATCAGCATGATTGCCTGCATTGCAGCGAAAGGGAAAAAGAGGGAAAGCGAAAAAAAATCATCAATCTGTTCGAAAAAAAGTCAGAATATTCGTGTTGAAAATCTTTTATGCAATTTTTCATACAACAACTATTGCATACATTGCGACAAACCATATGCGCTCATGCATAGTATATCACTTGGCTCATAGAGCGCACATAAAAATGCTGATAACTTGAATTGTTACATCTGCGGCTGCTGCTGGAGAAGCTTGTGCGTTGAGTAATGCCTGCTGATTTGAAACTTAGTTTGAGTTGTGGGAGAAAGTTGATAGTTTTTTTTTATTCCAAGTGGAATTGAACTTTTATATTTTACATTTATTCTTTTATATTTGACAATTTAAGAGCTTATTTTATGCGTTTAGTTCTTTGTTGACGTATTTCTCGGGTAAAGTGTTGAAAAATAAAAATATTGAATCATTGTTGTTGTTGTAACGGTTATCTAGCCCCCGCTTTGGTGGTACGTTTCTGTTTGGTTGTCGTCTAAATTGAGATTCTAAAATTTCTATTCAAAGTCTTAGTCTATTGAATCATTGTTATAATACTCCTCTTGAAATATAAAATATTTGTACATATTTTTCCAGATCCGCAGTACTTTCTTGGCTCTCAATCAGCCTTTAACTCTTCAAAACTGTAGACAAAAAAAAAACAAAACTTCTAGATGAACTTTGATAAAATAAATAAATCTATTGAATATAAATACGATGTTGGCTGAGAAAAAATCGGAAGGTTTAAACACAATTGCCAAAAATATCTCAGAGAATATTTGGAATTATTTTAATATCTCCTTTTCAAGAACATTGGGAGACTACACAAATTCTATTTTGAAGTATTAACTGGCATATTGATAAATAGCATATTTCGTATTTCATAAATCAGCATTTCTAGTTCAAACCTTAAGATATCGAAGAGCTTTCATCACTTTTTTTGATCTTGAATCTTACACATGAGGAAACGTCGAAGATCCTATAAGTGTATATATTATATAAATGATAAGCATGCCGAGGTAATTCGATTAAGCCATATCCGTCTGTCTTTCCGTCTACTCGAACTAATTCCTCAATTTTTGAGATATCGGTCTGAACTTTAGCATACGTCTTTTTCTCCCCACAATTGTCGGAATTGCCGATATCGGATCACTACAGTATATAGTTGGCATACAAACTCACCGTTATAAATCAAGTTTTGGTATGAAAAACTTTTTCATTTGACGATATATCTACACGAAATATGTCACATTTTGTTGACCGACAACGATCTTGAACAAACTGTTTAGTTCGGACCACTAAATAATCTACATGCTATATGCTATTTAGCTGCCATACAA